TTACTGTTGCGAAAGCTTGGGGGTATTTTAGTATGTTTTGTTACATAAAGGAAGAATGAACATAAATGACGTCATTGTTTCAGTTCTCAGTTTTCCACTGATCAAACGGTGATAAATATTTAAGCGTGGATGGAAAACTCTCCATACGAGAGGCAAGCCTACTAAAATATAAGGAAGAATAAAAATTCATTTTTTCAACAGACCTATATTGTGCATTTCGGGATATTGTACCATAATGTGAAATGCTAAAAGGAACACTGTCGCACCTCCACAAACTGTTGGCCCAAGTCGGTGAACGCTGACCTCTTTCTGCTGCTGAGCTGAGCGTCCTCAGTATTAGGACCGCCTGTGAAGTCGCGGGGCAAAGGAGATGTGTTGAGTTGGAGTGGAAGCGAGAGGCCAGGCCGGACCTGCACGAGGTATCTGTCCCGCCAGGTCTGCACCCACTGCGGCTCGGTCGTGCCGCAAGAAGGATGCATTCGAGGAGATGATACGACAGGGATAGAAAAACGAGCATGAGAAATCATAGATAGCGTACTAAGTCAAAGGATATCGCGTGATCCAGTGGCGCAAGAGTGAGAAAGTGGTCCATAGGCTGTCTTGTGAAAACTTATCTCTAAATGGCAGAGTAAAGTGTGTGAGAGGAATAAGTCAGGTGAAGTAATTGTAAACGCTTTACAGTGGCGAATCTGAATTCCCACTCCTCTCTCGCTACGCACCGTCGCATGACAACCCCTCTGTATTTTACGATTATACCACCTGCGGATGCGGCTATTCCTCATAACTCCTAGACTGCGTGATTTGCCACTCACTCTCGCGCGCGAAACTGCCATTCGCAGCTGGTCGGCCTCGTGCGCGACAGTTGGTCTTTGAGGCGGAACATGGATCGACCAAGTCGGAGACTCGCCCTGTGGAGCGACGCGCTCCGTGGTGCGCGGCAGAGCACGCGGGATTCACGTGTGAAGGCTCGCTCTTCGGGGTGTGTGGCGGTGTGTTCCCCTTACCCCCGCCGGCTCTCGCCCGCACCATTGCCTTGCCTTGATCTGCCACGGAGCGAGTCGTCGGACGGCCGCGTTCCAGGTGTTCACTTGGTGTGTTCGAGCTTCACCGGTGTGCCTGGCGCGCCATTTCCGTGTTTTTTCGCCGTGCTTCTGTCACGGGCATGGACCGAAGCTTGTGGTCGTGTCCGCGAATTGAGATGGAAGGCACCTTGACCGTGTTGGAGCGAATGCCCACTAATGCGCTCGCAAGGATGGCTCGGAGATTCATCACCTAGGCATGTCTTCGCTCCTGAGGTGGTGTCCTTTGAGGTATGCCGAGCCGAGTGAACCAGCAAGTCGAAATAGGATTTTGGAAGCTGACGCCATCCCTGTGGCAGATTGCTTGACAAGGGGTGGTTCTCGAGACAGTGCCTTACGAGGAAGAGCGTCAGATCCCAAAGCCCTGCGTAGGCTTGTTCTTGTGTTATATAGAATAAAAAGATTCCCGTTAACTAATTTTATTTTGTCTGAGAATGTTAGCAAAAATGCAATTTATCTCGCATCCCAAGGCATATCATTAGCATGTATTTCACCGCGCAGCTACCTCTCCAACTTACTGTGGACAGTGTAGTTCTAATTTCTTCTGTTATTTGCTCTTTTAATACAATTGTTATGCCTTAGGTCGGTTCCTTAGCCACACTCACCAGCCCGCCGAAGCACTCTCGCCCTCAGCCGACTCAGGAGCTGTGCGAGACCTTTCATCCCGCTCCCGCGCTCCCCCCAAAAAAAAAAAATAATAATGAATAATAAATTACTCTTATGTACGATTATATACAAAGTACGAGTTCTCAACTATTGATCTTGAGTTCTATACAGTAGGCGAAACTGCGCCCAAACGCCTCGTCTCGCTCTCTGCACTGCCCTTCAATGAATGTAGTTTCAAAAAGGTAACAGTGCACATCGCGCATGAATATTACATTAGACATAATTGTGTGCATGTATATTTGTTTCTGTGGATCAGGCATACTGGACAATAAAAAGTGTGTGAGCTATCTACAACGATCGCGACAGCAATCAGTCTGAAACATCCAAAGTGGAGCTAGATCAATGAAATGGCTCGGATTTCGACTCCGGCACACAGCATATTATGCCTGTACATACAAAACTCAATAAATCACAGAACAAAAAAGGAGGCAGGTCGAAAGATGCAGCACTGTTAGCGCTCGCTGGACACGGCCGGAGAAATGCCACAGTCAAAAAGTAGCCACCGTTATTTTCCAAACGTTACCCATCGGAGAGCAAAAGTATACACAAGAGCGTCACACTCTATATATGCATTAAAGAAGTAGAAGTCAAAGAGAAATTTAATATAGTGTAGGATGGGATGAATAGAATAATTTAGATTTTTTTTCATCCTGTTCTACGAGATAACCTGACAGATGTATGTGCGATTTCCCGTGGACAATGGAGTTCTAGTTGGGGAATCTTTGTGATACTGGTTGTTGTTGTTTTGCACTTGGTGTAAGACTCATGTGCTGTGGTTGATATGCAAATTAGGTGTATACGTCGTGTTGGGAGAGATGTCTGTTAGTTGAGAGAGAGTGGTCTCGTGTAGGATGTGGGCAATGAAGTTTTGACTGGCACGCGGGGGTGTTGATAGTGCAACAAAGGTTGAGGAGGATAAAAGAAAGAACGAAGTAACATGTAACAGAAAAGGAATAAGGGAATAGGAATGACGAGGAGGGAGGGGTGTAGGGTAAGAGGTGGAGGTCTGGGGAGATAATGAGAGATTATGAGTGACTGGAAATACTGATAGTTAGTTTTTGTTATTTGAATAGAGAAGGACTTTGGTGCTAGAATTGGTCGGTATATAAAGAATACAAAGGGTGCTTCGTTCGTTTCTGTGATTGGTGGTCTGCTGAACCTATATGACTCTGTAGAGCGTGCATGTAAGAATAGAGAGTGCATATTGTTTACCACAGTTCTCGTCGCATCTGTTTTGCAACTGAGATATTTCAGATAGAGCAGAAATGCAAGACAAACAACTAAAGCATAGGATAGAATTAGGATGGACATTAGTAGACAAGCTCTTAGTCTAGTGAGTAGAGCTGGTAGATAGTGGAAGTATGTGAGGTCGCTCTCAATGCTGGCCAGACACTCACTTGAACAAAGATTTGTTCGCTTTCGTCTCTTTCTTTGAAAGGCGAACTAGGAATAGCTAGGAAATACGAAAAGAGAATAAAGCGCTCCGGGGGTAGTAGATTCTGACAGTATGACTGTGTTTTGGTCATTGCTAGGGCCTCTATCGTCGTCGCCGGCTGTGTACTGTGTCCATCCACGGATACTTGTTGTTCGGTTGAGAGCACGAATTTGGGAATTTAGGTTGATGTGGCCGTTCAGTGCATCAACTAGTTTGCGTAGATATTTATCATTTCAGTGGGTAGATAATGAGTGGCTGGTCTCCTTCAGATTTAACGGGCATGATGGATATATAATGGAATGTCTTATGCGTCGCATGTTACAGGCGCGGGCTCCCTTTTAGGTGTTAAATGTTGTTGGAGTATTCTAGCTCTATAATGTGCAGTTGTTTGCATGAAGAGGCAGATATAAGTGGGCGTATGTGTACTTGTTAGTGTGAATGGTTCAGGTGTACTTCGAGAAGTGTTATGTGAATTGGTTTATATAAGTTTAAGGTCCTCCTATATATGGTATTGACTCAATAGAGTTGTGCACAGCTGAACAGATCCGCGCAATGCTTGTATAGTGCTTCGACCGGACCTGTCACACTTATCATCTACACACAGTAACGCATCTATCCTGCACATCTCATCTTACACATACGCCTCCATCGCGCATGAACCAAGTTCCCCTCTTATGGACGTCTCATCGATCTGCAGGCATCTCGAGCAGTTAGCAGCTATGGTTCATTGGGATCACACATAAAGAATAAAGAAAACACACACACACAAACGCACCACACACACACACAAAGACCACACACAAGCTACACACCATTATTGCTGTTATAACATATTATATATGGTATATATAAATATAAGTAGTTGAAATTAATAAATAGTAATATATAAAAACCCAGATTATTGTTATATTATATATATATATATATATATGAATATATTATAGTATATATAGATATATATATATATAATATTTATATCTAGTATACTTGATGATATATGATATGATTGTATTTACTATATATATATATTATACCCTCAAAATAATACTAATTTATATGCTCTATATATAGTATTATATTATATATATATAGTATATTATATATATATATATTATTATATATATAATATATATATATATATACACACACAATAATATATATATATATATTATATATATATTATATATAATATATATATGACGAATATCCCAAACCTGCCTGTTCTTCTGCGGCTGGCAGCTGAATGTGCAGGACAATGCAACAAATGAAACATGCTGCGGAATGAGCAAGGGCTGCAGACGGTGCGGCGTCGTGGTGGGTATCTGTGGGTCGTGGGGGTTGGGTGACGATGGTACGCGATAGAAAGTCGATGGGATTTGCGTGTGAGGGAGTGTTGTGGATGCCTCACGGCTCTGCGCGGTGGGTGGTTGCTGCATGTGTTCTGTTGATGCGAGTAGCGCTCGCGTGGGTGTTGTTGGCGTCTGTGTGGGCGGTAGTGGTGCTTGTGTGGGTGTTAGCGACGCTTGTGTGGATGTTAGCGAGGCATGGGTGGGTGTAAGTAGTCTTTGTGTGGGTATTACTGACGCCTGTGCGGATAGTGTATGTGCGAGTGTTTCTGACGTCTGTGTAGGTGTAAAAGGAGTTTGGATGGGTGTTATAGGCTCCTGTGTGGATTTTAGCGGTGTCTGTGCGGATGTCTTGGCAGAAGTGTGCGTTTGAGGATGGGGGCTGTGGTCGGTGGGGCCACAGAGGGCCATGAGACCCATGTCCGCCAGGGCCACGGTGATGAGGGCCGCCCGCAGCGCCAGTCCAGGCCGCAT